AAAATATTACCATGCCCTTATAGAAAGATTCGCCATCGCAAGATCTGAATATCAACGAAGATCAAGGATTAAGCTGTTCCTTTATATAGGTCATGATTTCTCAACTACCGGCGCATATACCGCTATCGATCTGTTTGCAATACCAGTCAGTAAAATATTGGATTTCCGCCGTTAATGATATTATGGTAAGATATTGGTGCCGGTTCTTATAAAACAATATGAATATTTTACCGATTCTTATAAAATAGATAATGGTTTTGTGCTATAGATAATGCTAAGCAAATAATCACTTTCCACCAATTCGATATTCAACATAAGCACTCAACATCAGTTCAGCAGTATTATACCACATATGGTATAATGGATCGAAATTACGATTATAGCAAAATCTAGAGGAAGAACATATTTTTTTCCAGCAACTCTTTTTGCATACAAGAAGAAAATATATTTGTGGAGCTATTTTAATGTTAATTACCTTAGTTCATGTTTTTTTTTTTTTTGTAATTTTATTTGCTTATAATGGGATCTGTCAATTCGGAATAGACAATAAACAATATTTAAAAGTGACTAAATACTTAAAATTTTTGTGAGCTTGAAGGGCCTGTGCTCAGTAGTACATCCGTCTGTTGGAGTCGGACACATTAAAGTTCCAGTGGCGTTTGTTTGCGGAGGCGTGTAAACATTCTTCCTTCTGCTATCATTCTGCTCATAAAGTGGTTGGGATGATGTAACATACGTTTTTTGTGTTTACTGGCTTGGCTTTTTATAACATCCTTAACTACGGGAATGTTGAGATCGCGATATATACATTCATTTGAGTTCATGTTCATGTTATTTGAACAAAAAATATAATATGTACCTATATTTAACATATAGTAGAATCAATAATGTTTCACAAAAATACAATGTGAAATACTTTTATTCAGATATCACAGTTGGTAATATTTGTAAGAAAAGATTCATGGCAAAGCATTTTTTCTTAAATGAGACAACAACCAAACAATTAAGCAGCAAAATTGCCGCTTACATCAATATTCCAGCTTTAACTTTATATATTGTATCTTCAAAATTATAATAGCTGAGGTATATAGGCTGACGAAAATCAGCCGCACCTACATTTTTCTTTATTCGCGGATATACGAGTAATACTGTGTCACATCTCTGGAACATATTTTTTTAATATATTATGTAGAGCTTTCCCTCTCGAATTAAAATATTGTTTTATAGGTTGATGTTACATTATATCAAAGCCTATTATCACTGCTGGGTATTAAAAGCAGTCGCAATTTTAAGTTTGTTGGAGTAGTCGTAATTCAGAAAGTAAATGAGGCTATTGCAGCGAATACTAAAAATATATCTTTTTGGCAACACTCGCAAGCAAACGTTATGCTATCTACAAAGCGTGGAATTAAATTTAATTCATTTTATGTTCTGTGAATTTATAGATACCCGAACACAAGTGAATATAAGTATTTAAGTATCTGCGTTGGCTTACTAATAATTTTAATTTATTCTCTTTAAATTTAGACTTAGTGAAAATAAAAATATATACAATTCTAAATACAAACTATCTAAAGAATCAGTTTATATAATGTCGAATATCATCAGTATTGATTCGTTTCGCTATGCCATGATTTTGTTGAGCATGATCAAGCGGAACAGTGGCAATGAACAGTGACAGAAGTTTGTCCCATGAAAAGACATGTCAACATTATAAAAGAGAAGGACTTACCTAGGTATTCAAGGTATGATAAATTGAACAATTATTTGCCTCAAATCAATTGAAAATTACTTAACGCAAAGTAGTTGTAATTAAAAATGTATTACAAAATGGTAAACAATCTGCCTCTGCATTTACGTGCGGTAATCTGTCAATACTTTGATGTTCTCTTCGGGAAGTCCGTTCTTTAGAATTTCTAATGTTAAGCCCGATTTTAAGTGTATTTAATTTGTTCAACTATTTTTCTATTTCTGAAAGATTCAAGATGTATATTGTGATACTAAGCACACTAATGCAAAAGTACTCATATTGCCATAGACTACTTAACATATTAAAGCAAATATGGGCCACTATAAAATCTTTAATATTTCTGTGAATATGTATTTGAAATGGCTTTCATGAAAGAGTAATTACTAAAGAGTAATAAACAAATTCATGAAATTTTGTCATTATTAATAAATAAATCTGCTATTATTTTGTAAATGAATCTACCTCATGTTTGATAGTGATTGTTTGATGACTTTAGATCTCAGTAGAAATGCAATAGAAATAAAATCACTTTGCAACAAATTATTTCTGATCTTATATACAAATTTACTCCTTTGTCCTCTCATCTTCAGATCTTTAGAGCTCGTCGTAACTAATGTTGCAATATTTTTGTGTACTTTTAAGCTTTTATTATCGCTGAATTCGAGGTAGGCAATAATAGTTTCTTCCTCTTTTATTGTTGAAAAAGTGCCGCCAACATTTCGAATTGATTAAATTATGCAAATGTGTAAATTTTTTATGTTTGAATTGGTTTTGGTGTAACGTAACGGACCTGTTCGAATAGAAGTACGAGTAATATAAGATAGTCATGTCTTTCAAGCTTTGTTGTTTGATATTTCGGTTTATGTCGATGTTTTATTCAAATTGTAAATTGTATCTGTGACAAAAGGCGTTGCCAAACACGTTTTGGAACAGTTTCATCAAAAATTTCTTTTATATGGTTTGATTTTCTCAATGCAGCTTACTTAATTGTAGCGACTCACTTTAAGGCGATATGAGAACCTTTGTTTTAGTGTTCCTTTTGTAGTTGGAAAATTTTCAATTTCTAATGTGAAGTACATTACACCCTCAAGGGTTTAAATTTATTGCTAATACGAGTATATGGGACGATTGTACTCAATGCAAAATTACAGTGGAGTTATGACAAAAAATATTAATATTACTAAATAGCTTCAGCTCAAAAAAAAAATATAAATATCAATATATAATAAAATATGTACTTTACAATTTATATTCTCAACTAATATACATTTTCTAAAGATAAAGTTGATAGCATTAAACATGTTTCTGATTAAAACCCAGATATCTCCTATTGGTCTTTGAATGAATGTGTTAAGCATCTAAGACACAACATATTTGGTGATATTATATGGGAACATGCAGTCGTGATTCAGGCCAACACCAACAACGATTAAGGCTCCATATTTTCCTATTTCTGTCAGAGTTATTCTCTAGTGTTTTTCTCAGAGTTATTCTCCATCCTACGTTCAACTAGGATATCTCCCTTATTCATGTTAGTTTCTATACACCCATAGATTCAATCATGAAATTATGCCTTAAAAGCTCCTTATTGTATAGATGTTCAATTCAATTATTCTATAGCCAACACAAGTTACATATACCTATATGATATTAGTGTTGGTCTGAATATATTAATCTATATCAACTTCAGACATGCAATGACTCAATAGGCTTATTTAGCTCAGTTCATTATTCAATTTGTTTAAAAATCATAAATAAAACCAGGCTAACAACTGAAACAGCACAACAACCAAAACCATAGATTTTTTAATGGACATTTACCACTGACCTTTCGACTTCGCCCCAGTCCTTGTTCTGACACACTTCATATGTACAAAAGAACTATATGTTAATACGCAAAAGAAATCACAATACACTTTGCTTCGAATTTGTGCCCAAAAATAAAAATTAAGTAAGTACTACCAGTCCATTGTTGAACCTACACTATCTTATTTTATGTCATGTCTAAACCAGAAATAATTAACGGACGTGGACCTCTGCAGAATATAAAAATACTAATAATGACAATAATTATTTCAACAATTTAAGTTTATTTAATTTCTGTGTAGTCAAAATATATATATTAATGAATGACGTATTTGTATCTTGTTTAACATACACAAGTTGTTAAAGACCGTTATTTGTAGCCCATTGGAAGTGAAAAAAACTAGTATGAGTGTATTCAGTATAAACTTTCACCAATGCAACCATACTCAACTGATTAAATCTACATATTTTTATTGATAAATCCAATATGAGTCATTTTCACGTGTAATTGATGATACCATATATCAATAAGCATTGAATTATAAAGACATGCTGAAAATTTATGACAAATGACCACTGTGCTCATAAAACAATTGTCGTCAACATTTCTAGATGCATCAACTGTTGCTACATCCCAAATGCAACATTTATAAGCGCAGCAAATGAAATGATATGCAAATAAAAGTATGCACAAAATACCGCTACGATAAAGGCGTGGGTTAACTTCAAAATGATTTGTAAAAGAAAAAAACACAAAACACAAAACTCAAGACCCAAAAATACAATATACATACATATTTACAAACTAGACAAACTTTTATCTGTATTTATATTTTGATGTTGTCACAGTTAAAAATTATAAATTTATTTTAAAATTCGATTTAGTACGAATATGTGAAAAACCTGTCAACATCATTTCCAAACACGAACTTCGAACTTTTTGGAAAAAAGTAAAAACGGTATCTTGAAGTTAGCAGAGTGTAGGTGTCTCCATGACATACGCCAAAATGTGCCGAAATTGATAATAAAACGGTTTGACAAAGCGATCACAACAGCGGTCACGCCAACAGATATCAAAAGAAACTGTGTTTATATGACACGATCGGCGCTAGTGTATCGCGTTTCCTCATTGATGTTCACTTAAGCGATGGGAAAGCAGAACTCAGGAAAACCGTCTTCTTCATTTATCAAATCGAGTAGGAATAAAATAATTTTAATGCCAGCTGTGGCTAGCCTAGATTACTCGCAAGTCCATTGCTCTTTGCAGCATGACAAATGCTGCAATTTTAATAAAATTACTACATAAACACAATAAATCCCCTAAAACCAACTTTAAGCATAACTACAATATATTTTTCTCCAGCAGAATAAAAAATTATTTTCACTGTGCATAATTGCAATTTGTTATATTTACAAATCAAATTTAAATAAATTTTTTTTAATTGAGTTACTATCGCTGTAAACAGGCATCCTGCTTGTAAGCCAAACGGAAACCGCGACCAACATACTCAGCGTCGCTTCGAAAGGGTAAAATTATGGGGCCGGCAGATATATCCTTTATAGGTGCATTTAAAGAAAAGTCTTCTATTTCGGTACCATCATTAAAACGTTCTCCGCATAAGCGCACCTGATTGATTGCCAAAAAATCATCGGGGCAATTAAAAATGCCTGCTCCGGCCTGTCCATCGGGCACCAAGTCATTAGATTCTTTTTGGCATAATTTTGTTTTGCAATTATAAAAATAATAAATTAATAAAGATTAATAAATTATATAAATGTAAAATTTAAAAAAATAGTAAGATTCATAAATTCACTGCACTTAATGTACCTTCATCCTTATTAATTATTTGAAAATCCAGTTGTTCACCACCAAGCTGTTCCATCGTGTAGGTAACTGTGCAGTAGTCCTTGGCACGTTGCATGCAAATTGCATAATTTAAGTTATTCTGAAAAACGTAATAATAATCTGAGTCTAAAATATTTTGTCTGCAAAACTACTCCCATCTTCTTGTTTTACCAAATATGTGGCCTCCTTATTCTCAACGATGGTGCCTTCTATGTCATAATTAAACGACTTAACCACACCTGTTGTATCTGTGTAATATTGTAGACAACCTTCAGGTGCAAGATTATCTTCCAACTAAAAATATGCATAAAACTTTAGTTAATGATTAAAACGAATAAAAATTAATTACATATGCATAAATTGTGATTCGAGTATGTTAATAAACAAATAATTATCAAAATCACTTACTAAACTTATGTATTAAAACCGAACACTAAAATCCGTAAATAATCTGCGATTATACAATAAAAATTTTTACGTTGAGATTTGTCTTGAGACAAAATATGCATTTCTTTTAATTTTAATTTTAATTTTTCACTCTCTTCATTAATTTAAACATAACTTACCTGTGTTATTTTAATATTAAAACTTCTACCCCCTGTTGGCACTTTTGCAAAAAAAGACAGATAAATTTTATTTTCCAATGAGTTTCCAACATGTATATAAACTATAAATAATCTTTAGGAACTATAATGAATTAATATTAACCTTCAAAAATAAACTCACTATGTTCTCCTGTGTTAATGCCACACAGAACTGGCACTGCAAAATTTATATTTTGTCCCGACACTATAAACTGATCATCAATGCAATCGCCGTCTGTAGGCCGATTAATCTATGCAATAAAACATTTTAATTTTGCAATGATCATAGATTAATAGACTTTTACTTTACTTCAAACATCAGTAAATCCAAACGCAGTTGCTGCACATTTTTACGCAAATTCACAATCAACACACAAATCATCATTTCACGTACCGGATTTGGATAATTCGGACTCTCAAAATAGACAACTGCTTCGTTAAGACTATGCAGCATAGTAGCTTCAATAATAAAAAATAAATTGCAAAAAAAATTTCAACAATCTTACATATGCAGCAAACACCCACGCCACCAGCACATGACTCCGTCGGTATTCCACCAAGGCTTTTGCACTCAAACTCATGATAACATACGCCATGCATAGTGCGTATGTCACCCATTTCCACTTCACATTTACTATTTTCAAATTTAATCACCTCAAACAAACTGAGAAAGCCTTTACTTTTGTTTTTTATTGCTGTACCAGGTCTTCTATGAAAGAGATTTAACTTTGCCGCTGATCCATATACCAAAATATTCTTCAATTTATTCGGTAGAAGGGCAGTTGGAAAGGGATTTATAGGTTTCATAATAACTGTTTTCATTGTGGTTGAAATGGTACTCGTTGTTGGTTTCGACGAAGTAGTAGAAACATCTGGAGGTAATATGGTTGTAGATGTTATGGGCAAAACTGTTGTTGTTATATCTTTCTCTGTTGTAGTTTCTTCTTTTAACGTAGTTGATTCTGGAATTACTGTTGGACCTGAATTAACCATATTCATTTGTGGTGAATTATGCAAAAATATTTTCGATTGTAGTAAGATCGGACTAAAACGCAAACTATAACGCTCCGCAATCCTTGTTTTATCAGATTTATCAACTTCACTTTCTGCATATATATCGTTTGATTCAGTTTCACTATCAACCACATAATCTCGCAACCAATAAGCATTCCTTCGCGTTGTCACAAAATCACTAGACGTTCCACGCACTGCAAAGAACTCACTGATAATAATTATGAGAACTAATAAAATTATTATCGCTTGTACATTTGTTGAATAAACTAACAACATTTTGAGCAGAAGCATTGTCAATAACTGTGTGCATTGCATTGCAAACTATGCCAATATAGGCATAATTTACTTTCATGGTCCAAATTTCTATAAGTCTGCAAACTCTTTCTCGGCATTATTAGAGCATTAATTGTCATTTTTGCATCTGGCATTCATTTGTTTTATACAGCCTTCACTGTGTGTTGTTTTCTTTAATGTCTCGCACTTGGTCACGCTAATATGATTCCGCAAGCAGCTTTACTCTATAAAATATTTTTCTACAAATCATTGCTGAATAATTATAGTCGCTTTCAAGTTCGTAGACATATACGTATAGATGATATATGTACGTTCATTAATTAATTTGTTTTCAGGTTTCATTGAGTGCCGACAACTGCAAATACTAACTTAACTACAATACCATCACTTCTTCTCAAAACAACTCCTTGACGAACAATTAAAGGGCTTCAGTATAGTGCAAATTTCTCCACAAATGTGGTGTCTCAACTTTGTTCATTCCAATAAATTAAAATCAGCTTAAGCAAAGAGTACAGAAACATCTACAAATTAATATCCAATTAATATATTCAAACTATAAAAAATAAAAAAATCTAAAATTTAAAATTGCTTGGAAATAGAGACAATAGCTCGATAAATATCAATAGTGCGAAGTTGTTAATCTATTGTTAATCTATTGTGAAATAACAATTAAAGCAATAAGCGAACAATATGTTATTATTATTCTGCTCCACGAGTCTGTTACTCGTAATAAATTTGAGTAACACTGTGTATATACAAGTACGTTCCACTCAAAAATTTTTTAATAAATGACAGCATCTGAGATAGCGTAATATCCCTGTCCAATGCTACACAGACTTTACTCGTACATTTGGTCGACAAAACTCCTCTGCCTAATCCTCCCCGTGGGTGTCGACTGGTAATATACAATTCTGATTGCAGGCTGTTCTAGCTAAGAATTGATGTTTACTCTGATTCATCGACGTGAGGTCTCTGCGGACAACAGAGGTAATGATACACTAAGCTATACCAACGGATTCTTTTAGATACTTAGGGGCTTCCCTTGTCGGATTGTCTACTGCAGACCAAAAAAAAATTCTGTCCAACGGCCTTCACGGCCAATATGATTTCAACGGCAACAACCTTGGCTATACAAACACCGATTGTGTGATTTTGAATTGTCTGAACTATGAATTATCTGAACCCTGGACTGACAGTCTTAGTATTCTGTTACCTCATTACGTAGAGGTGAAACTCTGCGTTCGGGCTAATGGTTTCAAGCTAATGCTAAAGCCGCCTCCGTCCCGTTAAAACCATGACTGGCCTCAGGAAGCGCTTAGTACCCGTCGCCGTTAAGTTAGTGGTGTAGGTGAATAAAGACGCTTCTAAACCGAACCAGATCTTTAAAAGACAAAGGTCTCAGGAAGAATAACCCCTCTTACGCAGAAACCAAGAGATCACACTGTACCAGTACGACTGTACAGCGAGGTTGCGAAGGTCAATCTCATTATAGGTGTCCTGGATAGGAGTGCCGAGAAGAGGAGAATGCACAAGGACAAATGGAAATGGGTGTCTGCCGCGTTGACAGGCATTTTCCTCCAAATGTTGGATAAAAACCTAGGACCTGCTCCCTCCTGCGAAGATGCCGGCTAGCACCAAGGACAAGTGAAATTAGTTATTTGCAAGGATGCGAGATCGGTTACCTTGTACAAGACAGCCGTCTCTAAAATAGGAAAGATCTAACCTGGAGCCAGACTTGAAACCAAAGCCAGAGTTTGGATCCCAACCAAACAAACTGACCCTGAGCAAATTCTGAAAATCTTCAGGATCTGCAACCCCAAGCTTCCAACTGAAATATAGAGGGTGGTTAAGTTAGAGCAGCCTGTTAGACCAACCCGACAAGCTGTTCTTGTATTAATTACGGAATCGTTGAAACCGCTATCCAAAGCTAAGTTATAATTTCCTATGGCTTCGAAAAGATATATCTCAAGGTCTATCGTACCGATGCCATGAAAGAACCGGAGTAGATTACGTTCGATCAGCCCTTGCTGGAAGAACCAGGTAAGGGACCAATGTTAAGACAGCAGACTAGTGAGGAAATTCAGAGCGAAGACCTGCCAAATTAGATGGAGGTGGACTCGCTCTCTCTCTGATGTCTGAAAACAAATCAAATGCGGGGTCGGTGACCAGACTAGGCAACCTATTCGATGAGAGTGGACTCCTAGACTCGGATGAATAGGCCGACAAATCGGTGGTAGAGATTCAAGTATCTGATGAAGGTGCTACAAATTAATCTCCCCCACTCTAAAGCTACTTCAGCAGTTCTTCTAATCCACCTTGCACAGGGTGGAGCTGATACGGTTCTGATCGAAGAACCATGGATACTGGAAAACCGGATCTGGAATCAGAACAAATGAGTATAAACTCATCAGCAACACAGACTCAGGTAGACCTAAATCATGTGTGTTAGTTAAAAAGTACATTAATTGTTTCCTCTTAAAAAAGAAAGCAGTGAGTTTAGAAATCGACGGTAAAACCGTGGTGTCATCATACATGGCCTACGACCATATAGGAAATCCACCACCGGAAATACTTAAGCGGCTCGTGATTGCAGCAGCGGATGAGATGACTAGTGTTGTGATTGGAGCCGATGCAAATGCTCATCACACAATCTGGGGAAGCTCGGACATAAATAAAAGAGGTGAGTTATTATTTGATTTTATTCTAGATTATATTCTTTATATATGCAATACAGGAGTAGAAGCTTCTTTTATTACTGCAGGCAGAAAAGAAGTTTTAGATAATTTTTAGATTTTTAGATAACTTTTGAAACTACAGATCTTGAGGTTAAGGATTGGAGAATTCTTGATGAACACTCATTCTCTGACCATCGTTACATTCAATTCTATATAAATCTACAATGTCCAGGTAAGAAACCTTATCGGGACTAACGTAATACCAACTGGAGTAGATATCGAACCAATCTATTAAATCTACTTCCTCTATATCCTAGGAAAAAACTATTATAGTGGTCCAAGGAAATAAGAAATTTTATGAAATCGAGTAGAAACTTGTTTAACAGGGCCAAGAAAAGTAACACGGACTGGGACATCTACAAAGCCAATCCTAAAATGTATAAAAATGAAATAAAAGGAGGCAAAACCCGCTCATGGAAAGCCTTCTGTGAAAACGTGGAAGATTGCCAAGGAGAAGCAAGGTTTAGGCGCATTCTCTCGAAGAAACCCTCTAATCTAGTCTACTTAAAAGACGACGTTTATGGGTAGACACATAGTAGCGAAGAATCGGCGGCAGTATACTGAATATTAACTTCCCAGATAGCGACATACTAAATAATCTTGGAACAAACCAAGGTTCTACATGTGACTCATCTGTGGTTAATAATATTGTCAACAGAAGGAAAATTAAATAGGTTATAGATGCCTTCCTACCATAAAAATCATCAGGCCTGGATAGAATTACACCGGCCCAACTTCAGGTAATAAAGGACATCTCTTGCAACTGGCTCACACCAATCTTTAAAGATTGTCATTCTGTAGCACATATACCGGAAAATGGAAATTGACAAAGGTTGTTTTTATTTCTAAAGCTCACATATCACACCTAAAGATTTTAGATCGATTGGTCTTTCCTTTTCGTCTTAAAAACTTTAGAGAGGCTTTTGGAGCATTTTATTAGGAAAGAGATGCCAGATAATAGACTTTTAAAATCACAACATGCGTACTGATTGGGACGATTAAAAGCTCAATACAGCACAAAGGATACGCTTTTTGCGCTTTTCTAGATATGGAAGGGCTTTCAACAATATCCTTCCTCAAGTAATCGTCAACTCATTAAGAAAACTAGGAATTGACAATAGAGTAATTGAAGTCATTACCCAACTGCTGGTTAATAGGATAATCGTAGCGCAGTGAGAACGCTAGCAACTAAGAAGTTTAATAGGGGGACACTACAAGAAGGAGTATTTTCCCCCCTCTTATGACTAACTGCAGTTAACGGTGTTCTTATTGATCTAGATAACGCAGGTTGTCAGGAAGTCGCATACGCGGATGATATGGACAATTTTTAAGTACATTAAGTAAGGTAATGCAGGGTAATCTAAATAAAGTATCCAAATGGGCCCTTCATAGCGGATTATCAATAAATCCAACCGAAACGGAACTAGTGCTTTTTTCTAGGAAATATAAAATTCCGGAATTCACACTACCTATCCTAGGAAATCAAACTCTGACGCTGAATGATAAAGCCAAATATTTAGGTCTCATAATTGATAGAAAACTGAACTGGGAACCAAATGTTGTTGCACGTACTCATAAAGCAATGGTTGCCTTTTACTGTTGTAGAGGCGCTACAGGTAAAAGATGGGGGACTCTCACCGAAGTCCATTTAATGGATGTATAATGTGGTGGTAAAACCGATTCTTCTATATGGAGTATTATTTTGGAGAAATACTTTGAATAGGTCAACACTATTCTCTGAGTCTTGGATTGGAAAAGGTCCAAAGGACTGAACTAATGATATTAAGCGGAGCATTAAAATTAACGCCGTCACTTGCCGTGAATATTATCTTCAATGTTTTACCTATCAACATCGCTGCAAAAGGCGAGGTAGCTGAGGCAGCTTTACGGTTAAGAAAACTAGGAATTGGAAGAAGTTGTGGATGGAAGCATGGTCACATCCTCAGAGAAATTGATTTCATTCCGGATATAGTGTTTTCATACATCCCTAGAAAGAATTAATAATTCAAGATTTCTGTCCACAATTGTGATCGTAGTACAGTAATCTATACTGTACAGCGATCACAATTGTGGACAGAAATGTTGAATTATTAATTCCTTCTAGGGAAGCACTACAAGAGTGATAATCGCCTTAACTTCTTTAGAGATGGCTCAAAGTTATATTGACAAGTAGGAGAAGGAGTATACTGTCCTAAAGTAGATCTCAGTATGAGTTTTAGGCTACCAGATCACTGCAGCGTTCTTCAA